TTCAGTTTTGGTATTAAATACGGTTTAAAATGTCTTTAGACAGTTTGTTTACGTTTGCTATTTTTAGCAGTTCTTGTGACATAAAACTGACATTTGAAGTAGGAGTATTTTTCAGGGAGGTCGCGTAATTTTGAAAACGGGTGTAAACTTAATTGTAATCCCAACTTAGCACACAAGTTCCAAGGTTTATTTAAAACAAACAGATTTATTTCAACATTGAAGCTGATGTTATATTTATTCTATACTTACTTTGTATAACAGTAAAATCCAATTGCCAAAACAAGGAAGAATACCAAAGCGCCACCACCAATTCCAATCCATTTCCAAAATTCTAGAAATTGAACACGAGGATAAATGAGGGCTAAACTCATCATCATTGCTAAACTCATCATCAACACCATCATTACAATCATAATAACCAATACCATGCCATCATGATCATCATCACCATCACCACCATCGTATCACCACCACCACCACCATCATATCACCACCATCATCATTACCATCATATCACCATCATCATCACCACCACCATCATCATCACCACCATCACCACCATCATCATCACCATCATCATTACCATCATATCACCACCACCACCACCATCATCACCACCATCATTACCATCATATCATCACCACCACCATCATCATTACCATCATATCACCATCATCACCATCATCATCATCATCACCACCATCATCATCATCACCACCATCATCATCACCACCACCAGCATTATCACCACACACCACCATTACCCACCACCATTATCATACCTTGTGGAATAGATTCGTCCTTAATAGCCTCCTTCACCGCATTCTCAGTTGTTGATGTTATCCTTCCTTCAATTGTTGACGCTATCCTTCCTTCAGATGTTGACGCTATCCTTCCTTCAGATGTTGACGCTACCCTTCCTCCAGTTGTTGACGCTACCCTTCCTCCAGTTGTTGACGCTACCCTTCCTCCAGTTGTTGACGCTACCCTTCCTCCAGTTGTTGACGCTACCCTTCCTCCAGTTGTTGACACCCTCCTTCCTTCGGTCGAAGTAACCATCGTTTTCCCAGTAGAAGTAGATATAACTCCTTCAGTACTTGTAACCTCAGGAATGGTTGTCATAACGTTTGTGGAAATCATGTTCGTTGTCATAACCCTTGTCGAAATCATGCTCGTAGTTTCATCTGTAGTCGAAACCACTGTGGGTCGATCTGTCAGCGTTTTCTGCACTGGAACGCAAACCCCAGCAGTTGGATCCCAACTGTAGTTAACTTTGCAAGTACATTTCGAATGCATACATTCGGTGTGTTGCTCAATGCAGTGTCCATCCAGTAAACAGCCTTGAGTTGGAATGCATTGCTTCTGGAATAGTTCGTAGTTGGGTTTACATATACATTCTCCTTCGTGGCACATCGAGTTTGGATCTAAGGAAAAAAGAACATAATGGTCAGGGTATCGGAGGAACAGTAGTTAGGGACCGCGGTC